GCACAAATAGATTAAAGAGTAAAAATATCTGTGAGAAAACATAACCCGCAGAATCAACTACATTAACACAATCTCTGGCTTGCAAAACGTAAGAAAAGGACGATCTTCTTTAGAACTCTTTATTTCAAGTACTGCTTCCCAATTATGCCAATAGCATAATTGTATAAACCCTTTAACCCAGGGGTGTCAAACTCGCATCGTCATGGCGTCGTCACGTGATGTATCATCTTTTTCGCCCCTTCGCTAACTAGGCATAGGCGTGGCGTGACTTTTCCCCCCCTTTGTTAATCAGGCTTAGGCGTGGCTTCCTGAGACTCTCCCTGAATCCCATTATAGCATGGTCAGTACAGGTACAGGTAGTCCTCAACTTACGACTACATTGAAAGCAACATTTCTGTTGTTAGGCGAGACATTTGTTAAGTGAGTTTTGCCTCATTTTACAACTTTTCTTGCCACTATTGTTAAGTGAATCACTGCAGTTGCTAAATTAGTAACATAGTTAAGTGAATCTGGCTTCCCCATCAACTTTGCTTGTCAAAAGGTCGTAAAAGGGGATCACATGACCCTGGGACATTGTAACTGTCATAAATATGAGTCAGTTGCCAAGCATCTGAATTTTGATCAGGTGACTATGGGGATACTGCAACAATCATATGTGTGAAAAATGGTCCTAAATCACTTTTTTCAGTGCCGTTGTTAATTCAAACGGTCACTAAATGAACTGTTGTAAGTCAAGAACTACCTGTATTAGCTCACTTTTCACAGTTTGACCTTTTTCTCTTCGATCAGAAAATTTGCATCTTTGCTAGTGGCTATTACAGAAACAATGCAGCATTGCTATCTCATGGCTATATGAGATACATGTACTCTTCTGGATCTCAGCATCAGAATATTTCAATATCAATAGAATATTGATATTCAGAATATTTCAAGTCAAAAATATTTCTGCTTCAGAAGGAAGTTTTAAACATGTAATTTATTCACACAACTTTTTGAGCAACCATTGTGGTCTTCTAGAAAATCTGAAAATATTGTGTTTTGGACATAGGAAACTCTGAGGATAAATAAAAGAAGAATAAATTGTGCCACAAGTTACCACAATTTCCTGTACTGTGCTCATATACTTTTCATTATAAATCTGTAATGAATACCACTTTGATTACAGTTATCTATACCACTATTTCTCAAGTGTGGTCTGGAGATCCCCAAGACCTTTTCAGGAAGTCTACAAAGTTAAATAAATACATATTTTTTAAAATATCAGATTTAATTTCTAACACAATAAATATTGTAGACATAGCCCACATAAACCAAAGCTTTTTGGGGTCTTCAAAAATATTTTAAAATGAGACCAAAATATTTGAAAACCACAACATGTTAAACTTTTTATCTTTTACTCAAATATGAAGTGGCTAAGCTTCAGATTTGTTGTATCTGTTCCTAATGTTTTGCAGAGACATCAATAGAAAGTAGGAATGTTTGGTCACCAAGAATTGCCCATTTATGTTACTCTTTTTCAAAGAGAAAATGTATCCTTTAGCTTATCATTTAGTTGTATCATTTCTGGATGGCAATCCTTTTTTTTTACACTGATTAAGACATTGGGTGCCTTTGTTATGATTATTGATTTGTTTATAATAGTTAAATTGATATAAGACAGCATAGAAATGTTGAGACTACAGTGTCCAATTTTACTGAGCTAAAAACTTCTTTTTAATTCATGTTTGTCCCTACTTTTTCTTGGTGAGATGTTTAAATATCTGTTCAAATAAAACCAAAATGCAAGGAAAGGGAAGGGAAGGGAAGGGAAGGGAAGGGAAGGGAAGGGAAGGGAAGGGAAGGAGAAAAGGAAAAGAGAAAAGGAAAGGGAAAGGGAAAGGGAAAGGAAAGGAAACATCAAGGAGACCATTAGGGTAAGTAAAAAATTAAATACTGGAAAACAATAAAAAATAAAAATAAAGAGAGATAGGGGAGAGATTGAGATTACCAAGAAAGGGTGAGATGTCATCACTTTTCCCCACCTCAGATGACTGTGTAACCTAGAACTGCTGATGGCAACACACAATGGCACTGTTACTTTTGACGCATTTTATATCCTGATGAGAGATAACTGATAACAATTGATCTTAAGAAACAAAGAATTTTACTCACTCATATCCGCATACTATAGCAATATGTTCTTCAGCACTAAGAAAACAAGTCATTATGTACATGAGGGGGAAAACTGAAAATGTCAACTTCCCGTCATATGCAAATTCTAAGATTGGTATGAAATATACCTATAGCTAATTAATAAACCATACTTTGAACTTAGCTTGTCTGAACTAAATACAAATTAGAAAAAAAATGTTTTTGGAGTTCAACTAAAACAAAAAACGGAATTAAAGTTTGTACAACCATTTTTTTCCAAAACCGAACACATAAGCTTTCAGTCTCTTTGGGGCTCAGAGTGGCTTTTCTATTTATGCCATGCACATTTTAAAAAACAGCATCTCCCTTCTTATCCAGTTTATTTATTTGTTGAAGAAATGCATAAGGCTACCCAGCTCACAATTTATTACTCAAGGCAGCACAAATAAATAAAACCCAAAAATAGACAAAATCAAACCAAACCTAATATGAAACCTAAATAATCTATCACAATCATAGATATATGCATACAGTAAGTATATCTGGGCTTAACAATTCTTTCTGCTAAAGCCTGGCTCAGCTAAGTCTTCATCACTCTATGAAAGACTAATAGGGCATAATGATAATTTAGTAGCAAATTTTGGCAAAATTATATTACGTTATGCATTACAAGGGTAATTTCTGCCAAAGAATACAATCTCCCTACTACTATTTTTTTTTTTGTTGTTGTTGTTGCAACTATGACCTGGTTGACTGAGAATCTTCATAGACGTTTTCCCTACTTATTATTTCCATATCTCTAATATAGGGTATTATATAGCCCTGGATTCAGTTACTTTGGCCGTGTCATGTGAGGGAATTCACTGGAGAAAGCAATTATGTTTGGAAGAGTTAGCAGTAAAAGGAAACCAATCTGTCAAAAAACACAGTGATTGGACACCATCAAAGTTGACATCAGTCAAAGCACAGAAAAACTCAAAGAAGTAGTGTAAAATAGGAAGATGTAGAAAGACCTGGCCCATTGAATCACCAAGAATCAGATATAGCTGAATGGATAACCTTACTCTTCTTATTCTTATTCTTACTTCTTATCATCATCATCATCATCATCATCATCATCATCATCATCATCTAGCCCTGACTGGTAAATTCCCCTGAATCTTTACACTATATATCCATGCTGGGAAAGCAAGCTTCAACTATTTTCTTTCTGTGGATGGGTCCTTCAGGACATGTGGTTTTCAACCTTAGTGTATGAGTTTCTCTCCACTTATTCCCCTTGTATGTGACATATTTCTCTGTCTGGTATTGGATTGGTTAAAAAAAAGAAACAAAACATCATAGTTTCACTATTCTTCCGGTCAACAATCAGCTGAACTCTTACCAAGTTCATCCAGTTAAAAGGAAAAGTCAATCATTTCATTTGTCAAATGAAAAGACAAAGGTTCAACTTTTTACTTTCCACTGATAAACTTGCAAAACAAACAAATGAAAAACAGGTTCACCAGCTGAGGCTCTTAGAAGGGGAAAGAAACTCAGCAGTCAAGAAGAAAATGGACATGGAGGGCAACAGCCCATGTCCATAGGGAAGGGGGGCATCTCTGTCAGAGCACATAATAGCCACCTGGAATTGATGCATCTGCCTGCAATAAAATGCAGTACAGCAGGTAAACCAAACAGTATTGCTTTTGCTGGCACAAAGTGGAAAACATTACTTTGGATGCGTAACAGAAAAAGACCAGAGTGTTTGCCTTCTTGGTGGCTGGTAAAGGATTGTGTAGTGCAGTGATGGCTAACCTTTTTGCCGTCACGTGCCAAAAGCAGGGGGAGTGTGGAGTGGTTGTGCACACGTGGAGTGGTTGTGCACACACATCCATAATTCAAGAGGCTTTCTTGGAGTCTGGGGAGGGTGAAAACGGCCTTCCCCACCCGCCGGAGGCCCTTTGGAGGCCAGAAACGGCCAGTTTCCCAACTTCCGGTGGGCCCGGAAGGCCTGAAAATCAGCTGGCTGGCGCATCCATGCGTGCTGGAACTGAGCTAGGGCAACACTCGCATGCCCACAGATATGGCTCTCAGTGCCACCTGTGGCATCCGTGCCATAGGTTCGCCATCACGGGTGTAGTGTATCTCTAACCTCAAGAAATATTAGTGGCCTGCAATCATGCTGGGACAACCAGGTCATGCAGATCAGTCTTAATTGATTACAATATTTGAATATTTTTTTAATTTCCCAGTTAATTTGCACTCTGCTTAGCTCTTCTGAAATTAGTAAAGGGTAGTTATGTGCCACTACCTCCAAAGATCTAGCTCAAGTTTCAGGAGTGGACAAGAGAAAGATGCCAGAACAAAAACAGGTTTTTGACTACCTGCCTAAATCTGTTCCTAGATTACACATGCATTGTGGAAGCTGTGAATCCCAGAATTTAAATAACATTAAATCTGTCCAGTAGAATAAATTATGTATTAAAATGGGGTTGTCTTCTCATTTTTAACCTTAATTTCATCAGCTTCTTTTCCTGTTCAGTCATGTCCAGTTTAATCAGCAAAAGTTCTAATTTGCTATAATCAAGCAAGTCACTTCAGCTTCTCCAAGCCCAAAGCTTGGTTCTAAGGACATAAACCTCTTTTCTATATCCACCATATCTAGTGGAATCTTTATTGCAATGCACCGGAAAGACCGATTTGATAATAACAACCTCAGGATAATGCAATTCTGAAAATAAACTAAGGAAAAGAAGAGGAATTCCTGCTTTAAGCAAAATCACATGGACAGAGTCCATGCAAGAGCCATCTATTACAGCATTAATCTATTCTTAGAGGTGGAGAGGAGAAAAAGCAAGAAAAGAAATAACTGGAAGAAAGCAACTTACCTCCTACTGTTCCAGGGGTGATAATTCATAGAGAAACAAAAAATGAGATTCTTCAGTAAAGCATATAAACTGTACAAAGCAATCTTAGAATTTCAACAAACGCATGCACTGATCTTCAATGGGCAGTTGTCAGTACACTGTCCTCCTCTGGGTGAGAACAGCATCAAGTAAATTCTGGAAGAAGAAAAGAAAGCAAGTTCCCCAATTAGTCCAACACCCTAAAACTCAAACATGAGTTTCATTGTTACATCATAAATAAAAACTGCATCTACAATATATCCATGTAGCACTAACTAAAATATTCACACATGTTCCCAGTTCATGCGTTATGGGAATACATACTTTTAGTTGGTAGCAGCCAGTGTCCAATGAACATGACAGTATGGCAAAGAACCCCACTTTGTTCCTGTTTTGGGTCCCCAACAGCAGGATGTCTCTGCCTCTCTAACTTTGATGTTTCGCTTCACCGACAGCTAGAAGCAGAGGGGCAATCTAGAAGACTTTCTCAGTCAGCAAATACAAACTCTGCTTGTGGTTTGTGGTTAGATAATAGTGACTGCTCCAAATACATATTGACAAAATGTTTTGGAACTGATGCATTTACTGACAGACTATTGGAGGGGATGATGCCTGTTATGTTATCACCCCACAACCCAGCTTCAAGCTGCATGTGTTCACGCTGTCCTTTCAGTAAATTTCATGAAAAATAAGTACTTTATGTTTCTCGGTTTTATACTAATGTTGTTACTTCACATGAATCTCAGATATGAGATGAAAGGATATTGGAGAATAGAAAATAAACAAATGTAACAGTACAGTTCTGTTGCTGCATATAAAAACCCTTTTATTTCTCACTCAGGAAATACAGGAACTTTTGCACATTAAAAACTGGAACACAGATTTTACATTTTGAACAATGAAATATAGGGCTTTCAACCAATGTAAGGTGATTTGTTTATCCAACGTCCTTACTATTCATTTCATTAATTCTAACGAATAAGTAAATTAAATGAAGATGTATCCTTATAGACTTCAAATGGAGTAGTTTTTTTGTTTATGAATGTTCACACCAACCACACAGTTGGTTGTGCTTAAAATATTATATATGCCTGTTGCACTTACTCAAGAACCTTGGCATTTTTGTCAGTATCTTTCCCCTAAATTTGCAAGCCTCAGTTCTCTGAAAATAAACTTGGTATGTGCACAAAGGCATCGTTTTATATATGTGCCATTGCTGAAAGATAAATAATCAGCTAAGGGACAAAGCACTCCCATGAATTAAGATGATTTCATTTAAATTTTAGCCAGACTCACAAAACAGTATTTTGCATGTTTTTATGTGAATCATCCAGAACACCACAGAATCTGGTAAGCACATGTGAAGAATATATAATGCTATGTGGCTGCGAAGTAGAAGAGCAGCACCAAGGACCACTAGGAAGATATACCTTCTGCCTCCAAATATGAACATCATGTTGGAAAAACAGCAATACTAGGAGATCACACAAAACCTGCAAGTTAAGTGTTAAATAGTAAAGTGCAGAGCGTTCCTTAGCAACTAGGAAGGACAGCCAATCACATGTATGCATAATCTCTTAGTTAACTCTGGAAGCTTCTGCTAGGAAGCTGCTCTGCACTGTTCTGTATGCATGCCAATTGCTGTCTTTTTTTTTTTTTTTTTTTTACAAAACTAAGAGACCTAGCTCCAGTCCAAATGCTAGCTGTTGCAAGGCTATAGAGCTGAAGGAGATAACATTCTGTCCCAATACAGGAGTATTTATGTGTGTTATTGCAATCTACCGTAAAATAACGTAAAAGACTAAAAAGTGTTGTTGGAATTTTCAAAGCCAATACATGAAGCATCACCTGTGAATTATCCATGCCCTTTAAAAGCTGCCAATATTACTTCATCCAAAAGTTTTAAAGCTTCTCCTGCCCACACCCACATCCCCAAAAAATTAAGCTTGGTTTTTGTGCAGTCTTCAGAAGGAAAGACTGCAAATCTAAGAGCGCCTCAATGCAAGGTTCAGTGACAAAACTTAATGAAACCACCTAAATGCCTTCCAGAATGGTGTTATTCTAAAAACTGGCAAGATTAATTATACAGATAGTTCTCGACTTGCAACCACAATGGAGCCCAAAATTTCTATTGCTAAGTGAGATATTTGTTGTTAATTTTGCCCCATTTTACGACCTTTCTTGCCACTGTTGTTAAGTGATTACTGCAGCTTTCAGTTACACATAGTAACATGATTGTTAAGCGAATCTGGCTTCCCCACTTTGCTTGTCAGAAGTTCACGAAAGGGGATCACATGATCCCAGGACACTACAGCCGTCATAAGTACGGGTCAATTGCCAAGCATTTGAATTTTGAACATGTGATCATGGGGATGCTGCAATGGTCATAAGTGTGAAAAACGGTCATAAGTCACTTTTTTCAGTGCCGTTGTAAATTTGAACAGTCACTAAATGAACTGTTGTAGGTTGAGGATTAGCTGTATTGTGTAGATCTATGGACTAAACCTACTTCATTAGATACACAAATATATTTATAAATACCAAAAAATGTATGTATGTGAGACAGATTCTTGCACCCAAAAACATTATTATGCATCAGTACTCCAAGATGGAAAAGATAGCAGTTAAGAATTGGTTATAGGTAGTCTTTGTTTAGCAGTCACTTTGTTTGTCATTGAGACAACAATTCAGTCACTACACTATGTGAAACTGCAACTATGCTTATGATCTTACTTTAACTTTCCTTTGATTTACAGACCTGAGAAAGTTATCAATGTGATAATTGGTCATGAAACATTTTTATCTCTATCATAACAGTGAGCAGTCACTAAATGGAGCAGTTACTAAACAAGAACAACTAACTGTGACTCTTTGGTCATTTCTGAATTCACACAAATGGGTTCTGCATCTTTGAAATATCTACGTTTTTGGGGGAGAGCCATGTCTTCCTTCATAGCACATAGTTCCCACCATTTTCTCTAGTTTTAAAGATTGCGTGTAACACAGTTAGTGGGTGCTCTGAAGTTACTGAATAGCCCTTGAAGAAGCACAATTGTAGTAAATAATAAGATCATTTTGATTTATATGATTCACAAATATGGAAGAGTAGCCAGCTACCATACTAGAGGTCTTGAAGGACCACACTGTTCTACCACAAGAGATCCATCTGCTCCCCATGTGGAAGATAAATTTTATTATACTGTACCAGAAAAAAATTGCTGGGATTGAGGCAAGAACCTATGTGTGTAATAGTGGAGCAGAGAAGAACTATTTTAATAATTTTCCTTTTATCACATATGAGGTAAAAAAAAAAAAAAGATGATGGACATATTTTCCCATCAAGAAAATGCACATATTTAGCAAAGAAAATCCAATAGTTGGCAATCCAAAGGGTGAATATAATTTAAGAACAAGGTTTATAGTATGACATTCAAGTATTTTTCCTAAGGGCTACTCTAGCTAAAATCAGGTGTCAAGTGTGATTATCCTTTTATTTCTCTTTCTGGGCCTCAGATTTGGAAGGCTTCCAAATTTATGGATGTATCCTGAGGCTATAAGATTGCAACCACGATCTTGAAGAGAAAGAATCCATATATATGAATCATAGATATTCTAATGAAGAGCTGGAGATTTACCAATTTTTGACTGCCAAAAATCTAATATAACAAACCACCCAAAGGATTCATTAGTGTGCATTAAATTCACATTTAACTTTTTTGGCATTAAATAATTTCTAAATATTTTGATCTGTGCTTATTGTACTACAAAATTGTTGTATATCATTGAAATATCTATGTATTACAAAACATTTTAGCAAATATTGAACTGTTTCTTTGTTTAAATATTTTATCCTTGTATTATACTATACAGTATATAATGTTCACTGTTTTTAATTGTCCACTATCTTAACAATTGTAATTTGAAATATACTCTTCATTCTTGGATTTTTTTTCCACCCTCTTTTTTCCTCACAATGATGTCTTTCTTCCTTGTATTTCTTTATTATACTATCCTGTAATTGTTCAGGAATCTTGAAATTCCAGAACTGTAAAAGCAAGAAGGAAGTTATCCAATGTCTTTCCCTGGAAGTGATGCTCTCTGTTTCATTACAAACAGGCTCTGCCATTTCGTTTATTATTGAATATGCTGTTTAAAAACAGGTGTTGTTATTCCCTTAAAATATAGCATATGTTATTTCACAGGCCGCACAGAAGTGCATTAGTCATTTCATTCAAGGGCTTACATTTGAAGGCTATCAAGCACAACTGCTGATTTATATTAAATAAGAATATCCTCACACACACAGGGGTACTAAAAGAAAACCTTTGTTGCTTTCATTTAAACGTAACAGGGCACAAGCGCCTTCAAGCCTCAGCAAAAAGTGAACAAGACTCACAAGTCTTAGCTATGAATATCTGGAAGAAAACTCCTTGAAACCCCCTCAACAATTTTGTAGCTTTGATGAAAGCCAAGTCTGAAATTGTGAGAATATCAGATTTCAAAATTAAAAAGAATAAAGAAATTTATTGAGGCCACGGGAATCTTACTGAAATTTTAGAGATCTACACAACTTAATTTTTTAGAAGAAATAAGTGGAAAAAATATGATTCCAATAAGACTATGAGGAACAGAATATCTTAATAAAACAGTTCAATATAACTCATAAGTAAAATCTGGCGTAGGACATGATCAATTGGCTGCAGATAAAATATTCAATAATCTTTATGTTATATCTTGTTTATGGAGCATAGTAATCAGGTGAGCATATCTTATATTTCTCTTGGTAGAAGCAACAGAGTTACTTCAATAAAGGAAAAATTGGAAAGGGGAAGGATAGGACTTCTAGAGTTGCATATAGACCCTAGGACGGGGGTCGGCAACCCATGGCTCTGGAGCCACATGCGGCTCTTTAGCCTTTCTCCTGTGGGTCCCTGTCGCACCCACCGGTAGTTAACATTTTCACCGGTAGTACCGGCTGATTTCATCCATCCATTCGTCCTGGGCCCAGTGACTCCTCACGTAGTTTGAGAAGAGAAAAGACTCGCTCCCCTCCCAGTCACTCCTCATGTGATTGGCCCCGCCCGTTGCCCAAGTCACTTATCACATGGCTTGAGAAAAGGAGAGATTCCTCACCTGGTTGGCCCCGTCTGTCCCCC